TGGATAAAAAAAGATAAACGCCAAAGAATAAAGCTTGTAAAACTGCACTATGACAACCCACAGGTATAAATAAAGGCTTCAGAGATGATATCTGAATCCTATTAAAAGTTTATGTTAATCACTCTCATCACCATATTATATCCTCTGCTTTCATTTAAAAATAAAAGCCAAGATAATTTTAGTTGTAAAAGTTTGTAAAGTCGATGTTAAGTACTTTCTAAAGCAATGACCTGCTTCTTTTGAGTGTCAATTTAAACTTGTATATGTCACCCTTACCAGTAAAGCAGTATAGTGTCTTCTAAAGCACATAAAACACACAGAGGTACTCTAGCAGAAAAGTAATCTATCACTATTAGTCTCAATTTTTCTTGGAAAATTAAAAAATGATGCAAGGCCCGTTTTTCAGTTTTAAGTTCATATGTAAACATTAAAAACATATGGGTGCTTTTTCTCTTCACTGAAACTCTTTCAAGATCAAGCTGAACAACTGAGACAAATCTAGGCATAGCATGAATGAAGTATCATGAAGTTGGGCAGCCTAGCCCTGTGGTTTTCTTTGGAGTCATGAATCAGAAACACAGATACACGACTACAGGGTGTACTGAGGATTGATAAATGTTACAAACAAATTAAGGACTTTATAACCCTGTGACAAACCAGCAAGACTTTGAGAGGAAGCAGAAAGGAGAGGCAGAGAGCTGTCTACTTGGGCTGAGAAACCACTAGTGTTGCACAGTGTTTAGAACCTGCTGTAGCCCCATTTCTAAGTTTAAGTTACACTTGGCTCTAGAAAAATGATTTATGTTTTGGCATTTCTAGAATAGTTCCTTTCTATGGCAGGTTTTATGAAAAGACTATTACTTATAGAAATTAAGGAACTTAAAAGTGAGTAAGAAATTTTCAATCAAAATCCAAATATTAATCTCCCTAGAAATACAGAGTAGGCAAAATATTGCTTAGCATATTTCAAACATTTATCAGTTCAGTTCAGTTCAGAAGTTCAGTCTGAGAAATAGTCAGACTCTTTGTGACCCTATGGACTGCAGCACGCCAGGCTTCCCTGTCCACTGCCAACTCTCGGAGCCTACTCAAACTCATGTTAATGATAAATTTATCCTTATAAAAATTGTCCCAAATTAGAGAGCCTGGTTAGAGAGCCTTTTGCAGATGGAAAAATTGTGGCTTACTGTCTACATGCCTTGTGCAAACAAAGGAACAAAAAAGGATCCTTTTTCGTGTTGTACAGAACTTAGAGATTTCTAGGTCTTACCCCAAATCCACGCTCCTCTTTCCTTCAGTAACAGACCCCAGCTTAGACTACATTCACCATCCTTCCTTGTTAAGGGGTATGACCATGTGACTATGTTCTACCGAATGCAAAGAAAGTAGAATTGAAATGCTGAGTAGGATTTCCTGGAAGTCTTATTTTAAAGGAAGAAATACATTTTTTCTTTGCCCTTTTCCTCCCTGCAGCCTTGAAAAGCCCATATAATGGCTGGATATTCAGTTGTTATTTGGTCAAGGGACAGAAGCTAGTGCTGAGTCACTAAGTGGTGTCTGACTCTCTGAAATCCAGAAAAGGGCAATGCCAAAGGGCTGGCTGAGGGATGATGGAGAGAAAGAAATGAGCCTGGGTTCCTTTTGACATCCTGAGGCTATCACCATAGCTCTGGACCACCTCCCTCTGGCTTTCTTTTACATCTTTTTTGTTTTGTTCAGTTGCTAAGGCATGTCTGACTCTTTGCTACCCCATCGATTGCAGCATGCCAGGCTTCCCTGTCCTTCACTATCTTCCTGAGTTTGCTCAAACTCATGTCCATTGAGTCAGTGATGCTATCTAACCATCTCAACCTTTGCTTCCCTCTTTTCCTCTTGCCCTCAATCTTTCCCAGAATCAGGATCTTTTCCAATGAGTCAGCTCTTCGCATCAGGTGGCCAAAGTATTGTAGCTTCAGCATCAGTCCTTTCAATGAATATTCAGGGTTGATTTTCTTTAGGATTGATTGGTTTGATCTACTTGCTGTCCAAGGGACTCTCAAGAGTCTTCTCCAGCACCACAGCTCAAAAGCATCAATTCTTTGGCACTCAGCCTTGTTTATGGTGCAACTCTCACACCCACACTTGACTGCTGGAAAAACCAAAGCTTTGACTATACAGTCAGCAAAGCGATGCCTCTTCTTTTGCATCAAAGAAAAAAAATTTATTGTGTTTGAGCCACTGTAGTTTTGATTATTTTGGGTATATGAAACTGAACCCAATCCTAGTCCAAAAACAATCCTATCCAAATCAGCAAAGAAATCAGACTGTACTTCTACTGGGGAGTGAAACTTAACAAAATAAGATAGAAATTTAAGGTTCTAATTGTAACAACCATGTTACAATCATAGTTTCTCAAATAAACCACATATCATATGAAAAGAGTTTTACTGCATATGACTAAGACTTTATTTCTTTCTTCAGCATTCACGTCTATTAAATATTTATTATCATATGCAGTAAAACTCTAATTAGTGTTTCCCAAAGGAATGTTATTTTGGCAAAATTAATAACAAGAGCAAATAATAATATTTATAGAAATATGATCCTAAATTTGGTGACCAAAGTTAAAAATATACAATCCTCGTTCCCTCAAAAGAATTACATTTTGAAAGATAATGAGGCACAAAAGTAACATACAAAGCCACTCATTATTATGTAAACACTGCTTTGAGACAGAACACAAAGTATTTTTATTGTGTTAAGATGCTCATGAATGTATTTTTGCTAATAAAATTGCAGTTATGAATAGATGACAGTTGATAAAGACATAATATGATATTATGATATTCTGTGGTTGAATCAGCTTTAGTTTCTCCCGCAACAAATTTTATGTTGTTCAGATGGAATATTTGCATAGGAAAGCATTTTACTTAGGAAAACACTGGAGGAGACAATCCATTCTATGTGGGAACAACGGCTTTATAACAGTGCTTGATCAGAAGGCATTAGGAACCTTGCCTTGAAAGCCACTATCAAATTTATCTAGAAAATTTAATGCTACATCATAAAATAACCAGGAACTGCAGAAATCCTTAACTGCTTACTATGCCAATTTGCCCCTGCTTTCAGGAGACAGCAATGAATATCATAGATACGGAAGAATAAAAGAGTTGAAGGACACAAGCAACTCAAAGAAAATGATGCCAAAAACTCCATATTGCCAGAAAAAATTTAAACAAACTTGCATTCTACTTTGGAGTAACTTTTTCTTTTTTCTATTTCCAAAGAAATTTTAACTTTGATTCTCAACCAGCTCTACCAATAGTGAAGTTTTTCCTCAATTCAAACTTGAAATCAATCACCACTTCTTTTGCTCCTAAAGCAAGGTACCTTATGATATATAATAATATAAGCTCACCTGAAGGAGGTGAGTTACAGATTTATGTCATTCTTTTAACAATCAGTTATGGAATGAAATCCAGCCATTTGTCTCAGTTGTTCTGTTCTGTTCAAATCCTCATAATTTTAAATAACGAAGAGCAATACTAATCAATAAGATTTATTTACCAATGACTGCACACCTGGAACACAGTATAGATACTCAATAAATGACAGCTGTTGCTATCATGTCTCTCTTGAAACAAAATACCTTCATTTTATTCTCATCTTAACATTTCTTAAGCTTCTAAATCCACAAAAATTATAACACTATACTATAAAAGGGAGGGTCCAACATGTAGCTCAGATGGTAAAGAATCTGCCTGCAATGCAGGAGACTCGGGTTTGACTGGATTTGACCTGCGTTCTGGTTTGGGAAGATCCTCTGGAGAAGGGAATGGCAATCCCTCCAGCATTCTTGCCTGGAAAATCCCATGGACAGAGGAGCCTGGTGGGCTATAGTCTGTGGGGTCTCAAAGAGTCAGACACAATAGAGCAACTAACAATAACACTATCTAGACCACTCCTTCTGTTTTATAAAATACTGACCTTAAACGTCCCTGAGAGATTAAAATTTTACTGATTTTCTCTGCCTTCCCATACTCAAGAGAAGGAACAGAATCACTTGCCATAACAGAGGATTACTAAGAGACTGCTACTATTAACAGTAAATTCCTCTACTAGAAAAGCTCTCAAAGTATGCTCTGAGAAAGACCATCACCATCTGCATCAGGACCATGGAGGCTTGTAAACTGTGGATTCCTGGCTCCTGTTCAAGAGTACTGAAGCAGAATCTTGCCGTGAGGCCTAAGAACCTGCATTTTTATGATAAGCACCATTGCCTTAAAACCAAATCCAACCTTCTTAAGCTAAAGACCTATTCCTCCTTGTCTGCTTTTCAGAATGACTGGGAAACACCAAGTCTCTAAGCTGTGTTTCCTTCAAGAATAGAAAGCTGTCTTCCCTCTCTCTGCATTTGTAAGCTAGCTTCAGTTCAACTTTCCTTCTTTGGTTTCCCTCTTTCTCACTTTTTTGACATCTATGTACAGTTTCCCCCCAAACTTTCTCAACCTCTCAATGGCCAGCAAACAGTGAATGTACATCAATGAACAATGACTATAATGGAGAATTAGTTCATGGAATCGATACTCTACCCTGAGTTCCCGTATGGACACCTGTTATATGGTAACTTAAAAAAAAAAAAAAAAGACAATTTTGGACATGTTTTATTTTCCATGGGTAAATTCGCCTGTTTCATGCACTGCATTTTGGGAATCTTTCCAACTCTTCTCAGTGAAATTCCGTTTCTGAATTAACTATGTAACACTGAACATCAATTTTTCACCCAAGTATGAAAGCCACCCAAATTTGTGTCAGGCACGAATTCTAGGAATTTGCTTACTCTGCTCTAAATTCTGGACACTGTTAAAGATCCAGAAGATACCAGGTTAGGCTGAGAGCACAGCCTTCTCCCCAGAAGCAATCAGTCCTATGCAGATGCAGGATGCACTTAAGGGTGTACCATTCAGCCAGGCAGCTCTCCTCTCCTACGCTTGAGCCAGCTCCCAGTTAGCACTTCATACCTGCCCATCCAGTGTAAACAGTGCTATCCCGAGGGTCTGCTGACTTCAGGCCTCGCTCCATCTGCTGAAGAAGCTCTCGAATCTTATTGTTCAAGCGTTGTGAGAACTCGGGAGTCAGCTGTAGATATTAAAGGGAAAACAAGTGTCAAAAAATATAGGCCACTTGGTGTCCTAGACTATAGACTGTTAGAAATAGGAGGGTACTTCATTTCCTTTCAAGCGCCAGTTTTTTGCCTGAGAGAACAGGACAATTATTTTATTCTTAAACAACAAGGATGAATTAACACAATGTAAAAGTGCTACTGTATTTTCTTACTCAAGTAAGGAAATATTTTTAATGTAATTTAAATGTTTTACATACAAATTTTAATTAAATATTAGACTGCCAATGATAAACAGGATCACAATTATTTCCATTTACTGGGAATCATCTATTATTTAACTCAATATTTCTTTTTATAATAAAAACCATTTTATTAAACTAAGCATAAAACAGAAGATATTTGCTGTTTTCAAGCAACTGGATTTTTAGTATTCAGGCAGATGCAATGTTAATTCCCTAAAAAAATACTAATTGCTTCTGTTGTTTAAAAAATGATGATAAATATTTATAAAAAATACATTTAGAAAAAAAATGTATAAACATTTTAAAAAAACTGTAGAAGTAGCATAAGAAAAGCTAAATAAATTCACAGATACTAGGAGCCTTTGGCAGAGTGGAAAGAACATTGGATCAAAAACCCACACAAAAACCCACGCCCAGCAAAGTGCCTGGCAGGCTACAGGCCTCACAAATATCGCTCAATGAATGAGCCAGGCTACATCCTTGTCTACTATTAGCTGAGTGACCATGCTCAACCTGTAACTTCTTTATGCTTCAGCTGCCTTGTACAGTCAGGATAATAACACCTGACCCACCAATGTCAAAGGTGCACTGAGGACCAAATGAGATCACGGGTCTCATACCCTTTGCATTCAGGGATTTAGCTGACATTTTTTCACTATTTTAAGCAATCCAATGGTCTATAAAAATTTTGGATACAGACTGAAAACACACTAAGACTGGGGTGTGGGGTTGGTGACATCCATGTAAAGGACCACAGATGAAGGGCAAATGGTGAGGCTTACCAAAAAGTTATGTTATTTGTTCTAATAACTGAAAAACATTTAAAAAGTTCTGGATACGTTGAATCATTAAGTGTCTTAAAAGGTCACTTTAATATATACCTCTATTTTTAGTAATCTGCTCTGATTCTCAGACTTGGATTTCACAAAGCATTAAAATAGTGAAATAATGTCGGGGAACATTACAAAGGTACAAACATTTCATCACATAAGGATGGTAAAAACATATGTAACAATGACCTGCAAGCATCATAACCTTATTTTTTTTAAAAGGGCATTTTTAAAAACTGTAGGAAGGCAGTAGGTAAAAAATGTAGGAAAGAAAAATGTAGGAAAGGCAGTATCAGAATTATTAGTGGTAATAAAAGACATTATTTTTTACTGATACTTTGAAGAGTACCTCTGATAAGGCAAATTAGATGATCAACCATACCTGGGTTATTTATTCTAAAGCATCACTATGATCCCTTATTTCACACTCTGAAGAAGAAACCACATTGTTTGACGGACACACTCCCATCATTTAACAATGTCTGCCAAGACGTTAAGATTTCAACAAGCCTTAAAAACACATTTAGTAAGATAAAATATACTTCAGTATTAATATAAAAGGCCTATAAATCTTAACTAGATAGAAGAGTGCATCTACATAAGAACATGTCATATTCTGCTCGTAGATCATGGATAATTTATCATCTTGCCTGACCTTACTGTAAGCGACCAAGAATAATGAGAATGCCTCAGCCTCAAGAAGGGACGTTACTTTCCATTTGGCACATAATTGCATTTAATAAAAGCGACCTGCCTAAGAATATTGATTGCTTGTGGCAGACCAAAAAATTATTCAAACCTAGCAATAATATGAAGAGTTTCTAAAAGCCCTTTTTCAATAGATGCCAGAAAACAGAGCAGTCCCTTATTGAAATATTCGTATTAAAAAATTAAGGAGGACAGATCTCCAGGGTCTGTTCCTTAGTGTTCAACATTAAACAATTTTAGAAGTGGGAGGAGGATTGTCCAAAAACCATGTGTAAGGCAATAACTTACACTATTATTTTGGTGCCAGAGTTCAAATTTATGAGTATTGTTTTTTTCTCCCTTAGATACAGACTTAAATTTGTAATTAGCATTTACTTTATAAACAGCCTAAACAGCGAGCTACGTTCCATTGAAGGCTTCTGTCATTAGGATCTATACTCAACTGTTCTCTTTGCCAAGAAACATGAAGCTGCAGATCTTCCTCCAAAAAGACAAGACAAGACAAATGCTTCAGCTTCAAGATCTGCAGAGCTAGGCAGAACCCAGGTCCAAAAAGCCAAAAGGAAGCCATCTGGCTTCAAGGTAATCGTTAGAGGACTTGTTTCGGCAGTTCAATTCTGGTCTTAAAAGAATCATATTGATTCCAGCTCTATATACACTTAGGCAACCGTCTATCTTACAACTCTCTGCCATCTCTTCCATTCCTCCTACTTGCACTACCCAAGTTAAACTACAATGCTTAGTGTTTTAAAGAAAGAATCAACAGAATTACTGAAAGTTCACTTGGCAGATATGGAATCTCTAAGGCCCTTCAATCACAAGCAAAATGCTTTTTGTATGGCTGATAAGCCTAGAAGAAATTAGCTGGTAAAATTTAAAAATGTGTGCACATTTAAAGAGATCACTCTTCCCACCTAACACTTAACACTTCCCACCCAACACTTTCTCAACTAGGTGTATACCCTCTTAACAATTATGTTCACAGGCATGAGAAAACACAGGCCTCTGGAATCTCAAGCCCAGGTTCTCTTTGTAACCCTGCAGTGACTTGTGAGGTGCCCATCAGTTTAACTGACCACTTTCATGTATTCATTCATTTATTTATTTTCCAGTTGTGGGGTTGAGTGGAATGGGACAAAGATTTCAGGCCTATGTCCCAAACCTCTCTTAGCAGCTGCAGTTTAAAGATGTCTTCATTGCATTCTGGTTTACCCTCGTCCTTATCCTGCCGGTACTCCTGTTCAATCATAAAACAGTAACACTGCCCATGTGAAAGCCAGCACGATTTCTCACCTCTCTTGAAAAACAAACCAAAAATGATTAAAAAAAAAAAGGCAAGATTACACAGTAAATTGCAGAGCTGCCAATTTTGATAATTTAAATATCAATGGCTGAAGTTATTTCAGTGATCAATTACTATTACAAATATTATCAGCTTCTTAAATAAGTTCAACATGTTAGAGCTCAAACTATTTTCATATGTATTTTATATATTTAAAGTATTTTATATGTTTATACTGAAATTTATGTCTTTTTTAAAAAGGGATGCTCATCCCTTTCTTTCAAGCAAAATCGAACTCCTTTCCAAACACTGGGATTTGGAGGTAGGGGTGGAGGCAGATATTTCCCAAACTCACCCTCCCAGCAGAATCAAAGTAGCCTTCGGCCAGGGATTTGTTATAATCGGCATAAGGATTCGGGAAGGCCCTTTGCGCCATGATGCCAGAAACGAGCCTGCAGAACAGGGGAAAAAGAGAATCTACGTTGAGATACGGGCCAAGGCCGCGTTGCGGAGGCGGCGGCCAGCGCCCGGGGAACACCTTCCTTCCAGTCCCTCGGCCACTGCGCGGTCCTGGCGGTTCGAGTGGACCCCTGGCCCCCCGCGGCCCAGCCGTCAGGGTGTGGCACCTCCGCAAAAGGGCTCCCAGGGCTCCTAACCCACCGCGACGAAGGGGGTCCGTTTTGCACCCCACGTTCACACTCTTGCGATTTCAAGCAACTGCCCGTTCTAGGTCCCAAAGCCCCGTACGGTCTCTGGCCACTCACCCCGCCGCCTCCGGACAAAACTGAAGCGACGCTTTCACTGCCCACTTCCTGCCAGCTGGACCAATCAGAGCCTTCGCTACTCCGGAGGCCCGCCCCCTTCCATTTTCTGTTGTTAAAGAGACAGAAGTGTTGTTTCTAAAGGGTGGGACAGGTGATTTAATTCCTGGAGAGCTGGAGACGGAACAGATCTTAGAGTAATGTGCAACTGTCGGCAATGTTTCCTACCTTTATTCTCCTTTAAATTAAAAAAAAAAATCAAGTAAACTAATTTAAGTCCAGATGATTCTCAAGAATTCAATTTTTTTTTTTTTAACTTGGAGAAGAAAACTGAGATCTAAACACATTCATAGTCCTACTACTAGGACTGAAGGACTGAATAAAATTGAGGAGGTTTATGTCTCTCCAGAGATTTGCCAAGCTTTTTTTTTTTTTCTTAAACAAAAAATGTAATAAAATACCATCATCATTCTTAATGACAAAGATCTTTGGAGATAATTTATGACAATTTAACCTCAAAGGCACCCAGTCAATGTGAGTGGCCAACGGCAAGGTGTCACACAGCAGCTGCTGAAACTTTAAGGAAAATAACATGAAAGCACAAATCCCAGCTCTTAAGAACTTTAATCTTCTCCTTTAGTTTAAATTAGACCATAATACTGTATTCCCAAACCCTTTAAAAAGATAACAATGTCCAATAGAGCAAGACGTAACATTCAATTTCAATGTTTAGCAGTCTCTAGTATTTGAAAAATTTTGCTTTCATTTAAATCCCACCTGGTACACATTAGGCCCATTCTGTTGCTCAGAGAATTCTGAATTTCAGTTAAATGATCAAAAATAGTCACTTTCTCTTCTCTTTCCTTCCTCATGTTCCAGTGAAGGTCCCTGGCCCCAAACCTCTTGTGGAAGTTCAATCCCCAGGCCACCCCCACCTTGGCCTAAGCTTGTTCCTCTGTGGCTGTCATCCCAAAGTCTCCTGCCCTTGCTCTGGCTCAGTTTGTTCTTTTGAACCACTGCCCTGCTAGGACACTTGTTAGCTCCTTCATCAAATTCATGAAAATTTAGTAGAAGAACCTCAGTGAATCTTAAATTGGAACTCTTCTTATTATAATAGATGGGTATGTGGAGGAGCAACTCGTAAGAGGAAAGAAATGGAGTGAGAGCCATTTTCAACTATTTTTCTTTAATTATTTAAGGCTTACTATCAGTTTATCCTATTCACAGTCTTTGAGCAATTAAAATCAGAGTGATATTTATTTATACTCATGACTACTAGAGGAGACTGGGAATCTATCTCTGGGTCAGGAAGAGTCCCCTGGAGAAGGAAATGGCAACCCACCAGTATTCTTGCCTGGGAAATCCCATGGACAGAGGAGCCTCGTGAGCCCCAGATCATGGGGTTGCAAAAGAGTCAGACACAACTTAGCTACTGAGGAGAAGGAAGGCGTCATAAAACAGTAGATTGTGCTTGAGCAGAAATGTAAGAAGAGTGGAAGGAGGATGCAGGAAGAGATAGCAGAAGGGAAGATGGGAAAGAAAAAAGAAACATTTTAGTCAGCTTGAAAGGCAGCCTCTCAACCAAAGAAGGGAATAAATAATGTGGTGAGATAGTGTAGGGGCCCTCATGCTCACTCTATTGACATTTTGGAAGGGATGACTCTTTGCTGTGGAAGCTATCCTGTTCACTGTAGTGTATTTAGCAGCATCCCTGGCCCCTGCCCGCTAGATGACAGTAGTACCTTGTCCCCGAGTGGTGATAACTAATAATGCTTTCAGACTTTGCCAAATGCCAAGTATCCCCGGGGAAAGGGAAGTACAAAATTGACTCTGGTTGTAAACCACTGAAATGCATGAAAGACCATATTCTATTTCAATTTTTCCCTTAATTCCCTTTTCTCACTCATTTTTCTCCTTCAGGAGGCAATCATAACATTATGTTTACTTCAGATAATATTTGGAAAATATGTCATGGGTTGTGTAGGTATGCATTTTTAATAAGTGGAGTAGTGCTATAAATAACAACTTGTGTTTTATATGTATTCATGTTGCTCTATGTATACTTGGTTGTTTTAGATACTTGTATACTTAATATTTTTATGATATGTCTCCAACTCATCTTACTTATCCTTTCCCTCAAGGATAGGCGTTGATTCTAACTTCCATATCACAAATAATACAGCCAGGAATATCCAAGTACTTGTGCTTAAAAGGATCTGGTTGTGATTTTTTTCTGAGATATGTACCATAAATGGATTTCTAGATCATAGGATGTCTTCATATTTAACTTTCACAGTACTGTTAGATTGCTCTCCAGAACTAATGGACAAGTTTATATTCCCTCCAACAGTACCTAATAGCTTCTGACATTCCCATGGCCTCTCCAACACTTGATATTATCTAGTATTCTGTTTTTTTGCAATTCCAATGGCGATGTGGAATCTCATTGATTGTTAAACTTGCAGTATTTTTATTGCTAATAGTGTTGAGTTCTTTGTATACTTGTTAGACAATCTGTCCTTTCCCTAAGATTTACCTACGTACATATTTTACCCATTTTTCTTTGGGCATTGTATTATTTTCTTGTTGATTAACAGCAGTTGTTTTTTGTTTTTGTTTTTTTGATGGAGGGAGAATTTATTCCAATTATTAATATCCTTTGGCTTTAGATGTTATAGATATCGTCTCATTTATTAACTTTTTCTAAGATTTCTCCGTTTTCTCCAATGAATAAAACCACAATTCTTCATTTTGATGAAGGTAAACCAACTCAACTTTAACACTATAATTTCAGGATTAACTTCATGCTCAAAAAGTCTTTATCCATTCCTAAGTTTCAAAGGTGACTTACATTTTATTTTATTAGCTTTTTATTGTTTTTTTTGTTGTTGTTTTAGTTTTTTACTTTAATGTTTAGGTCTTTAATCTATCTGGAGTTCAGTTATGAATATAGTATAAAGCCTGGATCCAAAATTATTTTGGAAGGGTGTAGAATTGTTTTGAAAGTTCAGATATAGTCAAAGCAGGACAAGTCCTCTCTTTGTTAATCAGAAAAAAAAAAAAGATTGGAATGACCAGAAATCAAATAGAACTCATTTGTTTTGTTTTAGGAGCAACCCAAAGAATTTCCCCTTAGTTCTGACATACTTGTATAACTGGGGTGGCCATAACAGAGTGCAATCAGAGAGATTGGTTTAAACAACAAAAATTATCATCTCGGAGTTCTGAGGTTGGAAAGCCAAGATTACGTTCCAGCAGGCTTGATTTCTCCTGAATCCTCTCTCCTTCCTGGCACATGGTTATTTCCTCCTGTATCTTAACATGGTCTTCTCTCTGTAAGTGTCTGCAAACTAATCTGCTTTTATTATAAGGACACCAGTCATATTGGATTAGGGCCCACCCCATGACCTCATTTCACCTTATTTCCTTGAAAAGCCTATGTCTCAAAATTTAGTCATGTGCTTAGGTACTGGGAGTCAGGGATTCAACAAATGAATTTGGGGGAACACAATTCAACCCATAATAGTGCTTATGTTTTCATATATGGCAATGGTGTCTGCATACATCTGTGGTTAATACCAGTTTGGTTGTTGATTATTTTTCAAGGACCATTCACTTTTGATAAATTTAGATTTTTTTAAAAAAATCATTATAGTGTTCTTTCTCTTAATTTGTGAATCTGTTTTGTGTGGACCCTTAGGAAACAGTTACTGTATTATTTCCTTTAAAAACGAATACCTCTAGAAATCTAGGAAGTTACATTAAACATCCTTGAGAAAACATGTATCATCAGTGAGCTCCTTAGTTCTCTTCTAAGGTCTTAATTTCAAAATGCTATAATGTGTATTAGGGTGAACACTAAGTTACAGTTATAAACAGGCTCAAAAACACAATCATTGACATAAATAGAAATTTATTTTTCTCTTACTTGAGCGTAGCTTTGCTCAGTGTAGCCATTTATGATCTTAGGTTCCTTCCATCTTGTTGTTTTTTCCTCCATTAATGAGCCATCCTCATCTGCAGGATCCATGCTGGCCCTAGGCATGTCTCTTCCAGGCTGTGGGAGGGTCAGGAAAACAGAGAAGTACCCATCTGATGCCTTCACCCCCAGCAGGAAGTGGGATCGATCACTTCCCACAGTATTCCATCTGTGAGAATCCAGGCACATGGCTATCTCCAGCTGCCTGGGTGGCTGTGGGATGAAGTCCTTTGCTGAGCTGCTTAATGCCCACCTAGAATAAAAGAAAGGGAAGACCCGCTGTGGTGGACAGTTGATCTCCAAGGCAGAATGGACATTCTAGTTATTGATACTGTGTGTCTCCCATCAAAGGGGCAACATGCTTAAATTTCTGTGGTGTTCCCTTTTCCTCTGACCTCCTAGCAACCACATCATCTGTGTTTTCTCCTGCATATTCCCTTGAACTTTCTGGGTCATTGACTGGGTCACTGACTTATGATAGAAGACAGATTGCAAGACTCCATATCTTTTCTTTTTTTTCTAGAAAACTCTCCCCTTTCAAAACAAAACAGATTGAAACATATGCACAAAATCAGGCAAAAGGCTATGATTATTTTTTTCACTTTTCTCCTAAGTATTATCTCTTCTGTGGAGGGTACCCTATTTTAATTTCAGCTCAAAGAAGTATAAAGCAAGCATTACCTAAGTTTGAGTTTA